TTACTACTTACTACTACTACTACTACTACTACTACTACTACTACTACTACTACTACTACTACTACTACTACGACTACTACTACTACTACCACTACTACTACGACTACTACTATTATTGGTACTACTACTACTACTACTACTACTACTACTACTACTACTACTACTACTACTACAACTACTACTTGTACTACTTCTACTACTACTACACGATTACTTTTACGACTAAGAGTACGACTACGACTACGAGTACGACATCTGCTATTACATCGACCTGCCCAGTGCAGTTACCCATCTACGCATCTGCTCCACCCCCCAAGTCCTCCCTCCTCCAACCCTCTCATCACCCCCCAGCCACCAACCCTCCAACCTCCCAGCCCGTCCCCCCCCAGCCCCATCTACGAGCCCTCAAACCGCCAACTATCCAACCGCCCGGCCCCCAAGCTCTCCAGCGTTCGAACCCTGCACCCCTCCAACGTCCAGCCCGCATCGCTTGGCGTTCGCTCGGTTCTGCGCTGTTTCCGATGCGTTGGTCTGTTTCTCTTCGACTCAAACTGTTTTGCGTTGTCTCTGGTTGTGCTGGTTTTGGTTAGTTTTGGTTTCTTTGGCCAGCGAGTTTTTTTCTTTGTGTCGTGCGTTGCTTTGCGTTCGTGTTGGTTTGTGCTGCCTTGCTGTGTGCACGCTGCCTCTTGTGACTATGGTGCGTCGCCTTGCTTTCTGACGCCCTCGCCCGCTCTGCAGTCGCGCCAACTCGATGGGCAAAATCGTGCCGACATTGCCGTCTGGGATCAACAGCGACTTGGACCGCAGCCAAAGTGGCTTTTCTCCCCCTGCAGTACAGTTTTTAATGAATGCTCCGCGTGCGGAACATGTATTACACATGCAGGGATCTAGTACTAAAAACAACGAGAGGTTCATGCATGAATCTATTCATAAGTTAGCCATGCATTAAAATCCTCTACATTTTATTTTTTCATATAAAACATACAAAAAACACTGCCCTGTACGTTCCGCTGGGTCCTCGGTCTCCAGATGGCCACACACGTCCCCGCAGTGAAGAGCCCGCCCCTGGGGGGGCATGGGCCGGGCCTCCCCAGGCACCCCGCACTGAACAAAAACCGGGACGCGTCGCACGCCTGGGCCCCGCGGCCCCCCCGCACAGAGGCCCTCCGAGCGGCGCCCCACCGTGGCGACGGAGGGCCCCCCGAGGGCCCCCGAGACCTGCCGCCGCCCCCCTCCGCTGCCCTCCGAGGCTGGCCTCCCGGCGCGGCCGGCCCGGACGCGCAGCTGCTCTTCCTGATGCCCATGCTGCGCGCCGTGCACGAGGCGGCCTTCGCCGGCGCCCCCAGCCGCCCCAGGCCGCTGGCCGAGGTGCTGCCCGCCATCCGCCGGCGCGCCCTGCGCGGCTGCACCGTCTGCCTGACGGGCACCTCGGCAGTGCCAAGGGGGGGGGGGGGGAGCCCCCGCGGTGGGGTGGTCGCCAGCTCCTCCCAGAGGTCGAGGTTCCAGAGGCGGAGCTCGAGGGGGGCCTTGTCAAAGTGCGGCGAGCGTGTGCACGTCCACGTCCTCGCGGTCCGGATTCCTGGGCGCGATCCTGCGCATGCGCGGTCGCACGTGCACGTTCCGCGCGCGACATCCGCGAACGACCGCCCCGTATCCGCCGCCCACGATTCTGGACGCCCGGGGTATTCGGGGGCTCCGCAGTGTTCTGGGGGCCCGCTTCCTCGAGGAAGCGGCGCCTCCATGAGGAAGTGGCGACCCCCCCCTGGTCCCTGACCTTCCAGGAGGGCAAGGAAAGAGCACCAAGACCTCGACATCGAAATCCCAGCTGAGGCTGTGAGCAGTCGAGAGGTCAACATTTCTGGAGAGCCATGTTCTAGCACTCTGGAAGGTCAGGTGCGGCGGCCCCCCTCGGGCTGAAGCCTGGCAGGCGTCGGCGGGGACGAGGGCGAGGCGGTGGGGCACGCGCTGGCCTGGTGGTGCAGGGCCCTCGGCGCGCAGGTCGAGGCGCAGCTGAGCCCCCGCACGACCCACCTGGTCGCGGCGCGGCGCGACACGCCCCGGTACCAGGATCGCCGCCTCCTCCACCTCCTCCGCCGCTACTGTGGCCCCCCTCTGCAGGTAGATGGCAGAGCAGTGCATCCAGTGTAGCAGCACGGCTGCACGGAAGGCGGAACGACGACAGGGGGTTCAACAATCTTTTCACGGCCCCAGCCCGAGCCGACCCCCCCCCGGCCTCGACAGGGCGTCCTTCGGCATCCTTTTTTGCCGTTCTGTCCCCCTCCTTCTACCTCGTCCTCCTCCTGCCACGCCCCCGTCCTCCTCCTCGTACCAGGACCGAGGAAAAAGCGGCACAGATATAAACCTTTAGAGCTTCACGTGGAGTTTTCGTGGATCGGCGCTGGACCGCCCTCCTTGGCGCGCGGAGCGCGCCAGGGGCGGCGCCCGAGGCGCCGCCAGGGGGGCCCGAGCGCCCATGCAAGAGATCCGCGCTTGGCTCCGAAAGTTCATGCCTATGTCGTTGTGTGTTATCCTCGGCGGGAGGCGGCGGCGCTGGAGAGGCCGGGCGGCGCGGGCCTGCGGATCGTGCACCCCGGCTGGGTGCTGCGCGCCGCGGCGACGTGGCTGAGGCCCTCCGGGCCTCCCAAAGGGGGTGTCCGAGCAGAGCGGGTCGGCGGATCGCGCGAGGCGTCTGGTTGCTGTCCTCTGGCGCGCAGCGGTCCTCTGCCGGGCCGAGCTCCCCTCCCCCACCGGGCAGCGACGACGATCGGTGCGGCGGGCCTGGACCCCCCCCCTTCACGTAAGCTGGCGTTGGCGCACGACCTCCGGAGGCCGCAGCGCACCCCCGCCCTGGCGTGCCCCGCCCAGCCCAAGCGTTGCCACTGCCCGCCCCCGACCCCCAGGCAACGACCGTTACCATACGTACTGCGATGCGGCTCCATGGGGAGGCCGATTTTCCCCACGCCGACGGCGCCGATGCGTCGATGCCGCCGCTGCACCGCCGATGCATCGGCGATGCACTGGTGATTCGCCGCGATCCTCCGGCCCCAGAGGCCCTTTCTGGGAGGCCTCCAGAGGCCCCCGGAGGACTTCTTCCTGCTCCCGCCCTCTGGGGACTGGCCCGACTTCCTCGACATCTCGGAGGAGCACAAAAACTGCGCCAGCGCAGGGTGTCGCAGCCGCGCCAGGCGTTCTCGGAGCGGCGCGGGGCCCCGCTGGCGCGCTGCAGCGCGCTATAGGGAGGCGGGCCCCGCGCCGAGATCCGAGGAGGCCGCGCGCGGACCTCCGGGAGTGGTGAGGCTTCGGGGGTTGCACACCTCCTCCTCCTCCTCCTCCTCCTCCTCCTCCTCCTCCTCCTCCTGGAGGAGCCATCTCTGGGGTGGCTTCGGCGCCTCCACCCGACCGCGCGGAGCCCCAGGGGGCGCCGCCGGATGCGGCGCCAGGGCGCTGGGACCGCCCCAGACTAGTCGGGGGGCGTGTTGAGGCCCGCTGGGCCTACCTGGGAGGCCTGCCTGTGCGCAGCTCGCCGAGGCCTTCCCGCCCGAGAGATCGCCCCAGAGCCGTCGCAGCGAAAAAGCTCAGCATCGCCCAGACGCAGGACCAGAGCTCCGTTCCCCATCTTTCTGCGCCATGTTTCGAGCCGTGTGGATCCGTGAGGGTCCCGGGGCCCGAACCTGGGCGAAGACGGCGGCCTCGAAGACCTTGAGACGCCAGGGTTCGGCGAAGGCTGAGTCCATGCGGAGTAAGTCCATACGGAGTGCTCGGCCTCCGTATGGATGCGCTCCGTCTGGACGTAGCCTCTCCTGATCGGAGGCTCAATCCATACGGAGTAAGCCCATGCGGAGTGCTCTGCCTCGATCTGCACTCACTACGTCTGGACTCCGCCTCGTGGTTTTTGGTTCCTCCGACGTCTGGGGCGCGCGGGCCCCGGCGCCCCCCCCGCCGGCGCGCCCCGAGGGCGCACGGCTGCAGGACCTCCAGGAGGCCCACGCCTCGCCCGCGGCCGCCGCCGCGGGCGCGCCGCCCCCCGCGCGCGAGGCCCCGGCCCGCGCCCTCGCCGCGGAGCGGCGCCCGTCGGAGGACGACGCCATGTCCGAGTGCTCCCTGCACCCGCAGTGCCCCTCCTCTCGAGGAGCAGACCCGGACAGGCTCGCGCCGCGCTTTCACCACACCACTCGGGGGTGGACAGAACCCCCAACAGTGACACGTCGATTATAGTGGATTGTCCGTTTTCGGTTCTCGAGAGGGCGCCGTGGCCGTTATTTTGTCCAGGCTTGCGCCCGCCAGGTTTGGGCCTCAGGTCGTTGTCACTAAACCACGTTTTGCTAAAGGGGGGTCTGTCCATCCCCGAACCACGACGGTCGGGCCGTGTTCGGCCGCCTCCCGGGGGGGCCCTCGCTGGGCCCCAGGACCTGCACCCTTGAGGCCCCCGAGGCTCGCGCGGCATGGGCAAGGGGCCCTTGGATAAGGGTTGGGACTTCCAGGGGCGGCCCCTCCTCCAGGGCTATCAACATCACCTCTTGCTCTTGGGGCGCTCTTGGGGCGTTCTTGGGCGCTCGTGGGGCCGTCTTGGGGGCCTCGTGGACCCTTCTTGGAGCTTTCTTGGGCCATCTTGGGGCCATGCTGAGGCCTCATAACCGCATCGGAAGCCAAACAGCGAGAAGGTAACACTCATCAATGTTCCCTTGGCTTTTGACTGATTTTATGCTCTTGGAGGGGTCCTGAGGGGTCTCCAAGAGCACCTGGAACCGTCTTGTTGCCCTCTTGGGGCGTCTTGGAGGTGTGTCGGAAGCTGTCTGGAGCCATGTGGGCCATCTTGAGCGATCTTGGAGGCCATTTTGGGTTCTCTGAGGCCTTCTTAGAGCCATCGTGTGCGGAAAAGGACCCTCTGACACATCGTGGGGCGCCCCGTCCAGGTCCAGGGGAGGGGGTAGGGGGAGGGGTAACCCCACCCCGAAGAAGAAGAAGGGATTGTGGAAGAGGAAAGGAAGACATCGTTAGAC